ACCAGCTATCTGAACTTCTCCTTGCAGAAATGAGATTCTGCAAAGCAAGAAATTCTTGAGTTCAGGTCCTGAGGGAAATGGAGATAAAGACAAACAAGAGTGGGAGCAGCTACAAGAGTGAGTCTGTTGAAACATTCTTGGTGTACTCCTAGGGCTGTTGTTGTTATTAGCTGCTGTTGAGTTGCCCCCCCACCCCGCCCACCCCATTCATGGCGACCTTATGTGTTACAGAGTTGAACTGCTCCATGGCTTTTCTGAATCCCTGGGTGGCTGAAATTGTTAAGTACTCAACTACTAGCCAAAAGGTTGGAGGTCTGAACCTACCCAGAGGCACCTCAGTGATCTACTTCTGAAAGGTCACAGCCTTGAAAAAGCTATGGAGCACAGTTCTACACTGCACACTAGAGGTTGCCATGAGTCAGAGTCAACTTGACGGCAACTAACAACCACAACAATCTTTATGGAAGCAGTTTGCCAAGGCCTTTTCTTCCACTAAGCTACTTGTTGGGTTTCAATCACCGAACTTTAGGATATAGCAGGCAATTGCAAACCACTTGTGCCATCCAGGCTCCCCCTCCTAGAGTTGTTGTTGGGTGCCGTTGAGTTGATTCCAACTCATGGTGACCCCATGTGACAGAGTAGAACTGCCCCATGGGATTTCTTAGGCTGTAATCTTTACAGGAGCAGATCACCAGGTCTTTTCTCCTGCAGAATGTCTGGTGGGTTCCAACTGCTGACCTTTCAGTTAGCAACCTGAGCTCTTAACTGTTGTGACACAAGGGATTCTTACTCCTAGAATGTTGTTGTTGTGTGCCAACAAGTGGAATCAATTTCTACTCAGCGCTTAATCACTGTGCAACCAGGTCTTCTTATATTCCTAGAGTAATCCCTAAAAAACCAAACCCATTGCCATTGAGTTGAATCTGGTTCATGGTACTAAGGAAATTAAGATTGGTCAATAATACAAAAATAAGGAGAGAGGCTAAACGTAAAAGATAAAGACAAGGGTCTGAAATGAAAGAGAGATACAGTGAGGCTGCTGCATAACTAGGGTCACCTGCTTTCTAGCCTGCAATACCTGTGTTCATACTTCTTGGCATCCAATCTTCTTCACTAAGCTAAAGCTAAGTATTTTACGTCTTGTTATTTGGTGTACCGCAATTCCAGATACCAAATCTTTATTAGTTAGGATTAGACTTTGCTGAGAGTGACAGAAAACTAATGACAACAGTGACTCAAACAGAAGTTTCTTTCTTATATAAAATAGTGGAGGCAGAGCATCCAGGAGTAGTAGGGGTAATTCTATTCCCTTAAGTCCTCAGAGACCCAGACTCCTTCTAGTTTTTTAGTCTGCCATCTCTAGGATGAAGCCCTCTTTTTCTTGGTCCAAGAAAAAGCTCCAGTGGTCATATCAAAGTTCTAAGCATTGAAATTAAGGGAGGGGGGAGAGAAAAGAAAAAAGATTCCTGCTGCCACCTAAATCCCGTTAGCCAGAATTTGTTCTCATGTGTATGTCTAGGTGCGAAGAGGCCTGCTCAGCCAAAATTCTATTGCTTTGTGTCTTAGTTACCTAGTGCTGCTATAACAGAAATACCACAAGTAGGTGGCTTTAACAAATAGACATTTATTTTTTCACAGTTTAGGGAACTAGAAGTCCGAATTCTAGAGGAAGGCTTTGTGGCTCTGGGGGAAAATTATTGTCCCTTTTCAGCTTCTGTTTCTTGCTTCCTTAGAGATCTCGTGTGGTGTGGCACCTATCTTCCCCTGTCTGTGCTTGCTTGCTTCCTTGCTTAATATGCTCTCTTATATCTCAAAAGTGATTAAGACATACCCTACATTAATACTGCCTTGTTAACATAACAAAGAAAATCCATTTCCAAACAGGATTATAACCACAGGTATAGGGTTAGCATTTATAACACATTTTTTTTTTGGTGGGGGGAGGGGACACGATTCAATCCATAATATTATGGAAGAAGGAGAGAATGGATATAATCGGGGACCAGTGGACAGCATCTGCCACATGAATAAATGAATGTGATTCAGAGCATAGGTAGAAGTATTAGCCTAGGGCAGAATTTGGAATGTTTAAGTGAAGGAAAAAAAAACAGAGGGAGGTAAGGAGGAAAACAGTATAGATGCAACTGCAGCTTATCTTATAGTTTGAGGGAGAGAGCTTTACCTGATGCTGTCTATGAAGTGAGAATGAGTATGGAGGTGGAATAGGGACCTTAAGAAACTAGTGAAGATTTGAAGTAGCCATTGTAGTAGATATAAAAGAGTTAAGGGATATATGAGGAATGTGGAATAGGATTGGTCCAGGGAAAAATTGGAAATTATTAGATTTAAAGTGGCCCTAATTCATACTGTATTCCTCCACCTTACCCCTACATCCCCCTTCTGTCCTTGGGCAGACCATTTCTATCAAGGAATAGGAATTATACCTAGAACTACTTGGCTCCAACTTCTTTGCTAAGTCAAGCAAAATAGATAACAAGGTCTTGTTGGTGTTGAGGCTATACAGATAAGAATTCAATGGCAGGGAAACGTCAGGGAGACCCTTACTGATTAGGGACTCCTGATGGTTGCAGTAACAGAAACCAGTGTTAGGATCTTGGGTTACAATGAAGAGAAACTCAGGCTACCTCAAGGAAAACAGAGCAACTGCAAGGATATCCACCGACCAGAAGTGGAAAAAAACCTAGAAAGCTAGCAGGAAGAAAGGCAGCTTCAGGGTACAGATACTTGTTTGTTTTGGTGTCTCTCTTTCACATAACCATCCTCATGTGACATCTATCTACACAAGCCTTCTCCATTTTTCTAAGGACTGGACAATTCTGCATTCTCATCAAAATTCTGGAAGAAAGGGAAGCTAGATTAAGGGAAACAGAACAACCAGAATGGAAATAATGAGAACACTGATATTGTGAAAAAGATGTAACCAGTGTCACTGAACAATATAGAAATTGTTAAATGAGAACCTAATTTCCTGTGTGAATTTTCACCTAAAACACAATAAAATATTTTTAAATAAATAAAAATAATTACAAAACTATAGAGGAGTTACTAGGCCATCAAGAAGCCATCCACTAAGAAATAAATAGAGTCCAACTAGAAGTCATTCAAGTTGAAGAGAAAATGGAATTTGAAGGAGTCCCAGAGCAGCTTCATACAGCTAAGCCAAAGAAAAGGCAGCATGTAAGGGAAGGAGAAGTAAGAGGCATTAGTGTGAACACACACAAATCTCAAAGGAGCATGCTGCAGTCCTGGAGAAGGCCACTAATCTGGCAGCATTATTGAGAGAATCAGTCTTTATCATGTTCCTGTGCTTCACTAATTCCATCTAATGCCAAGATTATTCTTCATTTTAGCTTTATCTGTGTCTGTAACTAGATCACATAACCCAACAACTGGGGAATATGATAGAGTTTACAGAATATTTGTACCCATATTTTTTTCTTTGTGTGAACATTAGGAGAAATACACAAATTAAAAAAAAAAAAAGTCTGGAAGAAGCCAGTCTGATTTACTTATATAATTCTCAACAAACTTATTGGCTGGCAAGCCCTTTACACTAGACTACTTCATGGGTCATCAGCCAGCCTTATGATTGACACCCTTATGACTGGTATCATCCTAATCCATTGTATCAATTATGTCAGAAGACAGAAAACAGTTATCTGAATGGCAAAAGTTTAGTATAAAGAATTATTAACCACAACAGAGGATTCATTTCTCAGGGTAAAGAGAACTCTAGAGATTATAGGAATAGTGGATATGGGAGCAGCCACTATCTCTAGGGCTGAGCAGAGGACCCAAGGAAGGAGCATATTTGGAAGAGATTCCTTCCCAAGACTGGGATTCAGGCTATAGACCACAGTTTGCTGAGGTGTAGCCGTCCAGGGCTGGAAAGCCAGAGGTGTCAACAAAACTAGCCAGAAAGCCACTCACTGGGGCTCTGCTGAGACTTGTTGGAAAATCACCCCAGGGGGTGCTGCTGAAACTCACTGGGAAGTTGCTCGCTGAGGCACCAACCACGACTTGCCGAGAAGATAGCAGGGCACCAGTGAACTTACGGAAGCACCCCCTTTCTCCCATGAGGGTGACACTGAAATTTGCTGGGGGATGAGCACCACTGGGAGTCCTGTATGCCACTGGACCCTACACACTGCGGAAACAAGAAGAAAAAGGAAAACACACCAGAACCACTAAGAGGTTCCTTTCTCCTGCAGTGTCACTTCTGCATTTTCTGACAAAGCTTAACATCGTACCAGTTGACAAAGGAGAAATGTTCATAAGGTCCAGCTTCAGTATCACAAAGCAGAGTGATGAAGGATGGATTTGGAAGAAATTGCTAACTGGCACACCCACCAATCAGTGCCCTCTCTGCACAAGGCTCAGCGTGGCTCAATTTCTCAGCGCAGGTGTTGGAGATGGAGCACTTTAACCAGGAGAAGGTGTTCAATGAACCAATACCTGGACTGGCTGGATGAGTCCAGCATTTAAGAAATTTCCTCTAGCCTCCTTTGCCATGAGACCAGAACAGGATGGTGCCCAGTTACCATTACTGAACATTTTGATCAAACTTTCTATGGAAGAGTCCTGATCAAAAAGGGGAAAACGCATAACAAAATTTCAAAGTATCAGCCTCCAGACTTCCTGGAGCCATGAAGGTTCAACAAACCCCTGTAAACTACTGCCCTGAGATCATCTTTAAACCTTAAACCAAAAATATCCCCTGAAGTCTTCTTAAAATCAAACAATAGTTTAGCTTAACTACTAAAAAATGTGTCTTGAGCATTATGTTCTTGTAAGAACTATCTATATGGGATCAAATTGATAACAGCAACTTGAAAGATTAGATAGGAACTTAAGGGGGCAGTGAATTTATGTTAACAGAGGAGGAACAACTCAGAAAAGGGTGTGAATGGTTGCACAAATTGAAGAATGTAATCAATGTCGCTAAATGGTACATGTAGAAACTTGAATTGGTGTGTTTTGCTGTGTATATTCACAACAAAATAAATAAAATTTTAAAAAGAAAAAAATTTCTTCTGCAGGTACTATTGAATATTCAGGACACTGGTGACCTCACAATTTCTAAGAGGGAAGAGAGGGCAAGAGTACTTCTCTTGAAGATGCATTTGCTCAGCAAGCATCCAAGTTTTTGTTTTTATTTGGGATGGTTACAGAGCAGAGCTGGTAGAATTTATTTGTGGAGAATGACTAAATCCACTGACCCAAAACATGAAGAAATACAGCCTCAAAACTGTACATATAAGAACTGACAAAGGGAAACCAGTCAAAGATTGGTGGACTTCAGTTAGGTACTTCGCAGGTTAAGCCGGAGAATTTCCTTGCCAATAAGTCTCCCTCCCCGACCCCACCCACACATCCCTTGTGACAAAACCTCACAGCTTGTATGCTACAGGAAAAGCTTTACACATCAGCTGTCTAAGTTGAACAAGTATAACTCATTTTTGCAATAGGCTGAAAAAACACCCGTCCTCTCACAGGAAAACATTTTACCTGTGTAGGGCATCATGGATCGTGATTAATAGACTTATCAACGCTGAGATGGAATAATGAATTTTAAGTCAGCTATGATGCTAACATTTTTCAGTTGACTGTATGCATGCTGTCATGTTTCCTACAACAAATGTTGACAATAATGACCCTAAAATGAATTAAATGTCATTGCAGCAGTATTTGCAAAGTGCTGTGGGATTTCATAGACTGGAATGATGAGGAATTTCAAAATTAGACTACATATCAGAAGTATTTCCCTTCCCATAAAATCAGTCCACTTAAGAGGTCCTGTAATTGGGTTAATCATTCAAGGTTGATGAATTCAGCATTAAGATGGCAGAATCAAGTTAGAACCAAACCCAGTTTAATAGTGTTTCTTAATCACAGTTGCATATTGGAATCACTTGAAACTTTTATAGAACACATTGTCTAGGTAGAAAGGGACGGGGGTGGGGAGAGTCATTGTTTAGGGGGCCCTGAATTTGTTAACAGTGCTGTAATAATTTGGAAAATAGTAGTAATGGCTGCACATCATGACAAATAAATTATGTATGTAAAACTGAATTGGCATGTTTTGTTATATATATTTTTGCCACAAAATATGCAGTCTGAAAATATACCAATATCTGGGCCTTACCCCTTAGTGCTCAAATAAAAAACTTATTTATAATGGAAATTTTTTGGGAAGGGATTTAATTAATCCTTCACACCTCCTCCCCACCCACTTCATCTTTTAAGTCAAAAACATTAGCCACTGCCTTTGGGAGACTCTGAAGAATTTAAATTTCTGGCTTACGCTTATCATTCCCAAATACTGTATACCTAACCACAGCTGTTAAAAAAAAAAAGTAAACAGCAGAAAGGTACCAGAGCAGTTTAGAGGAGTTCCTTTGAAACAGCATGCACATTTTGAGGTATTTTTATTTTTCTAGAGAATTTGTAGGTTTAATCAGATTTCCTAAAAAGGGGCTCATAAGATTAAGAATCATTAATCTTTAGATAATGTTAGAGTAACTGTGGAACTAAACCAGACTAACAGAATCTAAACTGGGCAGTATTAAAATAGACATTTTATATTAAAATTTTAAGATTGATACACTAGAATTTAACTGCAAATCTGACATTAGAAAACAGATGCAAAGATGCCTATACATGGAAAACTGAGATCATTTTAGTTGAGAACAAAAATCATATGGAGGCTGCTAGTTATATTAAATTCTAACAAAATCTTTTCAAAAGCAAACTTTAACATTAAAAATAGGAAATCAAATGTAGTTTGTCTTTTCAACTATCTGAAATAAATTCTTTCCACATTTCATCTAAAATACACTATTAACATTCCAAGTAGAACTATATTCAAGAGTAGCACCATAGTTTAGGTACACTAAAAATTCAATGTAAGATAAATCTATTGGCTTTCTTTACTAAAGCGTTTTTTTCTGCTTTGACATTGAGAAAAAAATAATTTCTAGGTATCTAGTGTTAATTCACTTGATGTTCAATTCAAATGGAAAAATGACCAAATCTTCTACTCTTAAAAAAAAAGCATAGCATTTTTATACAAAGGAATCCCTCCATTTAACAAGATTTTTCTGAAATAGAGATAAATATGCTAAGCCCATGTGTGAACTCTTCCAGGTGTCCAAGAGTTTGCTATGCCATATAACTTTAGCAATGTGGCCTGTCAGCACTCATTGGATGACCAATATAACTAGTGGGATAAAACAAATGTCAATATGGTATGCCAGAAAGATCACTAGATTGACTTGTCAGCTGCACTTTTATTCCTGGCACTGACTAAACATAACCACTTCGGGGCTCTATTTTCTGTCTAAAAAGAATGAATTAGGTGAGTTACTCTTACAGAAGTTCCTTCAAGTCCAAATTTTAACTGAGTCTAAAGTGATTCAAGGGAAAAATACCTAAATAAGCACCTCTGATGTGAAACAAATCACGCAAAACATCACCCTAGTGTAACACCAACAAAGGGAACTCCTATTACTAAGCACTCTCATAAGGATTACTGTCACATATGTCCAGTTCCGGTCTACATATTTAACTGTCATCTGGGCGCTGAGATACCCTGCTATACAAAGTGCTACTTTACTATCATTTCATCACTTTCCACAAGAAAATACTAAAAAAAAAAAACATTAAGAAACGGGGGAAAAACCAACACCCAGGATTTAATCCAGCATTTATTCCACACTCATGATGGTTCTCTGTAATCAGAATACAAGTCATAAGAACAATCTTATCAAGTAATTTGCTGATAGTCTTAAATAATGCAGCATAGCATTACTCTTTAATATCTCTGTTCAAGTTTAAAAACTCAAACAGCAGTCTTCATTATCAATAAAAAAAGTTTTGAATTTAAAAAAAGGACATTATCAAGCTGTTTCATAATTTAAGTATTTTCCATTTATAAAAATGCTTTGGAAGCTTGAGGCTTGAATCTGTTTTCTCTACTCATCTGTCCCACCCTCTCCCAATTTCATGTTAGTATAGGGTTGCTGCAAGAATGCTAGGCTTTAGACATTAATTTTTTCTTTAATATAGTATTTTAAAATCTGAGAGTTCAAGAAACAAAGATTACATGTCATGTATCTTTTCAAATAAAAAAGGAAAACTAAGTGAATAAATTTTAGGCTTACTAAGTGTCCCTTTGAGGTAGAATGCTAAAAGGACTTTTGATCAAACCACAGCCTAATTTAAACCTCTGCATCAGAAACTAACTTCTCAAATTCTCTCTAAAGGTAATGGTGGAGAATATAAGTGTAACATAGTAACAAGAGCCTTCCAAGATAATATACAGTGGACAAAAATGTTAATCCTACAAATGCTGCCTTCATGTACATTGAATGCACACAGATAATTCTCCTATAATACACATCCAAGAATCATTCTCAAAGTCTTTAGCATTCTATTATGAAAAGCACAGCCATGCTAACTTCAGTTCACAAACCATAATCCCACACCTACAAAACAAAAATAGAATTAGTGGCAGTTTATTGCCTTATACAAATTTAACCAACATGGCAACCATGCCAAAGGAATTAGAACATCTGCAGGACGTATGTACAGACTGTACATTTCAAAAAATAAAAAAAAAAAAAAAACATTAAGAATGCAAGAACAATCTGTGCATCATGTGTCAAACTCAACAATTGGGTGAAAACATCAATGCAATAAATGGGATTACAAAGGCACTTCCCTACAGAAAAGAGGAAATGAAAATGTAGCCTAAAGGGAGCTTGAAGAGTGTGTAACTACTGCACAATCTCAATTCACGGGGAAAAAAAAAAAAGAAAAAGAAAAAAAAAGCAAATTTAATTGAACATTTATAGGATTCAATGTGATCCACTTTTACAAAAAATTTTCACACAGTCTCATCTTTGTTTTTATGTTGTTTTTCTTGGCTCTCTCGTTCTATACTTTGGCTCCTTCGACGATCATGTTTGTCTGACTGGTCCTTACTATCACTGTGATCTCGTTTGTGGGAACGTTCTTTGCTTCTGCTACGCTTTCTAGACTTTTCTTTGCTGGGGCTATGTTCTCGTTTTTTTGACTTTTCAATACTGTCAGTTCTTCCTTGACTGCCACTTCTACTTCGTTTATTTGATTTCTCTTTACTTTCATTTTTATGTTTACTTGACTTCTCTTTGCTCCTGCTTCTACTTCGCTTTCCTGCATTTCTACTTCTACTCCTACTTCTATGTTTCCTCTCTCTGCTTCTACTTCTACTGTGTTTTTTCTCTTTCTTGGAATCTTTTTTGTCATCTCTATGCCACCTATCATCTTTGTCGTCTTTATGTTTCTTCTCTTCTACCTCACCTCTACTTCTTCGTTCCTTGGACCGTTCTCTTGATCGCTCTCTCTCCTTTTCTCGGTCATTACCTTTCTCTTTATCATAGTCACGATCTCGTCTTCTACCTCTCTCGTTTTCTTTTTCTCTTTCTCGATCCCTGTCCCTTCTATCCCCTTTCCTATCACGACTTCGACTGCGACTTCTGTGCCTTTCCCTACTCCTGCTATGCCTGCGTTCTAACCCCCGATCAATACTTCTGGATCTTCGCCTTTCTTTTTCCCTTTCTTTGGCTTCACGTTCCAGTCGCTGGCGTTCTTTCTCTCTTTCTAATTCTCTGTCGAAACTAGAAGACCCGTGGCCCTCCCGATGATGGCTTCTACTTCTTGATCTTCTTGGGGACCTCCGTGGACTCAGTGATCTCCTTGGAGACCTAAAAAAGAAAATGTCAATGAATAACATGTATCATAAAAATTTAACTTTCATCAGTGTTATTTATTTAGATCACCAGTTTACATACATATCAAGAATAACTAAAGCAAAAAAATCTGCTTATTCTCATTATAGATACATAATTTTGTTGGAAATGCACTGAAAGGTAGAAAATAACCTTCGCAGGGGAAAAATGACAAACTAATAAAATGAACAGTAAAAACAGAATTCCCTATTAATTTACCAGAACCATTAACTTTGTATAAAGCATATTTAAAAAACAAGCACAACTGAGTGTTACATTACCTCGAACGTCTGCGTTCAACATGTCTGTCAATTTCCTCAGCACCTTCCTTCCCATCTTTCTTGATTTTTCTAGGTCGAGTTTTAATCTGTTGATCAATATTCTTCTGAACTGGAACTGGAATTCTTGGAAACAAGGTAGAAAACCACTCCAGTTTTGTGAGAAAAGACCGTAGCATTTCTCCAATGGTCATTACACAGCCTCCACCAGCCTTCACATCTAGGTCCTACAGAAACACAAAAGATACCCTAGCCGTCAAAAATGATATTTCAAAGGTATACGTGAATACTACAAAAATATTATACCATCTTTGGAATCTCAAATATAAAAATATTGTAACAGAAAAATTTCAATTTGTGTACCTTTCTAATCTGGTAATGAATGGTACAGAGGAATATTTGGGCTTAGTGTGTGCATGCAGGTGAGAACAAACCCTGCAGCCCGTGGGCATAAAGGGAACTGATGTCACTCAGTTAAGAAGACTAGGAAAAAGCCCCTTACATTACCAAACTATGTGGAACAACTGACGTAAATTTACATTCCACATACCTATTAAGTATATATTCTTTATTTCTGTGGACGTTTGCACACATCATACCTAGCACTGTAACCTAGCTACACATGGAACTACTTCAGACAATTCTTGTCTAAAAGTAATCTTTTAACAGCTCTAATATAAAATGAAACCCTAATAAAACTGGAAGCAATAGCAAACCAACTGCCATGAAGCAGTGAGGTTTCTAATTTAGAGTTATGTAGAAAATAAATAAATGAACAAATAATTGGAAACGCATAATCCATGATGACCATTGTCTCTGAAAAGGGTCATTACCGCATGAAGGCCTTCTTGCTATGCCCTCTCACAGCTCAGGACATGTTAGTCAGCTATTGTCAGTCCCAAACCTATAGTGCAAGCACACAAGGAAAGTGAGATTTGTTATCTAAACAGGAAAACAAGAGCTATAGGTAAAACTGCTTGCACTCACACACATTTAAGTGTTCAGATATACAGTATTTCCAAATATAATCGCTGCAGATATCTAAGGAAGAAAACAATAAGTTAGCTTAAATAGAGGACCTCAGGTTTGTAAACACAATAAAAAACAGATTAAATAGAAGCATTCAGAAACAAACCTAATATACCAACACTTACGAAAAAGAACATGCTTTTTAAAAGACAGAAGGAAGAAGAGCTTTGGTCCGAAAATCTCATCGAAAGAGAAAAATAAACTTTAAATGATTGTTGATTATCATCTAACACAAACACTTTTTGCTTCTTCTGTTATTAAACTCAGTAAACATGCCAAAAAATGCAGAGAAAAATTAAAATTCTCCATGTCTGCATGAGTAAGATGTTTGTTTAGGTGAGTACTTAATATCAAACGCATGATAGAAAGATTTCCATTAGAACTCCTATTAAATTCAACAAATTCTTTGGATGAATTTTTAAAAATATGACTACTGATGCAACATAAAGTCTGCTTTATGAATCTTTAAATATAAAGTAGTAGTGGGGGTAGATATATGGACAAAATACAGTTCATTACTCATTAAATACTTTTTGAGATCTTGGACTTCACTATGTATGCAACTACGTATATAATTTAAATCTGACACAGTAAAGTTTTCCAAAACCAAAAACCAAATCCACTGCCATCGAATCAATTCTGAGTCATAGCGATCCTACAAGACAGAGAAGAACTGCCCTACAGGGCTTCCAAGGAGCGGCTGGTGGATTCGAACTGCCAACCTTTGGTTAGCAGCCAAAGTAGCTTTCTATTCCGAACATATGTAGCAAGCTCAACCTTGTTAAGTTTGAACAGCACATTAAATTTAGGATTTTAAAAAATCTAAATTACTAATTTAAAGAGAAAATTTCCTTTTAGCTTTATAAATATGTATAGCGTACTAGCAGTCAGAAAACTAGAATTAAAACACCATTTATTTGTTTTCTCACGTCGAACAAGTCATCTAAGCTCTCAGTCTATTTTAAGTCCCACCCAGCTCTTCAATTCTGTGCTTCTATACAAGTGGGAATACTGATATATTGAAGAAGTTAGAGGGTAAAGAACTGAAAAGTTCCAGAAGAAAAAAGCTATAATTAGTACTCTACGTGCATGTCTTTTATTGCCTCGATCTTGAGCAGGGCCCACCTTACAAAGTCACTATCAACTGTAACAAGTCAGGATCATTACAATACAAAGAACCTAATTAGGAAGAGAAATTTTTCAATAGTTACCAAAACACACTTAAGAAGTTTAAAAATAAGAAAATAAACCATTAGAATTTAACCTAAGATATGTAAAATCTACCAAGTCTTAGTAAAAAGACATTTATTCCAAAAATATTTGTCTGAAATAAATTTAACTATGTACATAAAATTCTAAAAGACATTAAACTTTCAATAAATAAAAGCTATTAAAAACATGAAAGTAATCAGAAGAAAACGAATTATTACCCTTGCTGACATACCTCTTCATCATCAAGGAAAGATTCAAACCAGTCCCATAGATCTGTAGGGGGCTGTGTGTACCTAGAATTAGAAAAGACTATTAAGCGTACATGTTTTAAAACGAAATGTTGACTGGAAATGTACATAAATGCATGCTCACCTTATATACATAAATCCAAGGGCTCTAATATATGGCGAGTCTGTGTGTGTTATGAGACCCATCACTTGCTTACGAGTTAACTTCAGAGTAAATAATTTGTATAGTAGGCAAAAAGCTGTAGAAACAATTCCTCCTGTTCCGACACCTCGAACCTTTAGGGGAAACAGAGTTAAGTAATAAAACAGTTAAGAGATAGTTAATACCAACTGATTAATCCTGTTAGGTATATGATAACAAACCATAATCCTGTAACCCAGAACTAAGAGAATAAGGCATAAAAATTAACACTTTCTAATCCCATTATCTGGATACGTGAGTTTATAGATTTTTTAAATTCCAAGATTTGCCAACTAACTGCCATTTCAGAGTGTAATTGACAACAGATAGACATTCAGTTTTCAAAATATAAAATTAGTTGTCAGACACTTAAAAACTGAAAAATGCACGTACTTCTACTTACCCCTCCGCACATCCCTGTCTGGCCTGCTGTTTTCCTGCTTCCTTTCTCCCATGGTTCAACATGAGTGACCTGAAAATAGAAAAGATGACCACAACAAACATTCATACTTTGATTTTTTTTTAAGCCTGATTTAAGTAAATCCAAATCCATAATAGAGCAGCTCTTCCAAAAGTTTGGAAGTTGGGTATTTTGGCATTACATATATAGTTCTGTTTATTCACGTTATGTAAACCACCACTGAAAAACTGCTTAGAAAAACTCTTTAAAGAGCACCAATAAAGCTACTATGATTTAACAAAACCTCAACATAGCTTTACAGAGCAGAAATTCCATTAAAGCAGCTTTGTAGAGAGCTTGATACTTATACACATGGGAGCAAGGAAATTTTTGGTAGGCCAGGAGTTAAATTTACTTCTTAGTAAGAATATGAGAATATAAGAGACAAAGAAATAGCAGAATGGGTTACTAACTCCATACATTTAAATGTATAGATATTACTGTAATATGTTTTAAAGACCAAACTATGGAACCCTGAAACAAACATAAAACTGAAACAATCTTTTGTTACTATTCAACCTAGTATTCACGTTACTACAGTCAAAAACTATTTGAGGTAGCTATTTACTATATGTACATGTTACCTACTCAGGTCCCCTATTTCTCAAGCAAGCAAACCTAAACAACATCTTCAAACTGCTATTAAAGTATATCTAGTCTCATATACCTGTGGAAAAATGCTTGACCATATTTCAATTTTGTATCTTTTTATGAGTTGCTTAAAAATAAAAATTCTCATTTTGAAATGGACTTAAGGCTCCAACTTAAAGCAAAAAATATTCGAAAAATCTTTAAAATACCTTCAATAGTTCAATTTCATGATGATTAAAAAATATCTACATTATAACAAAAATGACTTGAAGAAAGCATGCTAAAACAGTACAAAACTATTTCTGATGCAAAATTATGGGTAACTTTTTATGTGTACATTTTTTCATGATGATCAGTTAATGTTCACTCCTGACTGAAGATGAAATTACAAAGGCCACACCTACAAAGATCAATCTTGTTATTTTAGTCAATGTGTAATTCATTTTCAGTCTAATTATGTGAACCAATGCAAAATTTTCCCAGACTATAAACTGTGAATAAGAGTGAATAGTCATTATACTAAGTATAATCAATGATGATACAGTATCATCTTTGCTAAGGTGGGCACCCTATAAAAATGACACACTTTATCTAAAAATAGCAAAGAGCGAGAATATTAGCTCTAAAACAGATATAACCTACAAAGGTCTTTTGGAAAGATAAGACCTATTTTTATTTCTAAACTTAAAAACAAAAGTAAACAAACAAAAAACCCTGTTCTTTTTGTGCGTGTATTTCTAAAACTGTCTTTCCACCTACCCATGGTTACATTTTATAGTTTTCAGTGGCTTTAGACAGAAGAGCATGCATTTAAAATCTAGGCACTATATTCTTTTGCTCAGCAGACTCATGCATTGCTTTACTGTTTCATTTTCTTTCCCCAGTTTGCTGTATAAAAAATATTTCAATTCCTTGAATTAGGCTATCCAAAGTAAGGGGTGAATGCAATACAAACTTAGATTACAATTAAAAGCCCACGTATTTCAATGGTTATTTGTTCTGGACGTCTTGATAACAAAACCTAGGTCTTCAGTTTTATAAGTCAACTTAAGAAATAATTTTTGGTAGAAAATCTTTAGTTTTAAAACAATATTCAAACCTTGAAATCCAGCTTTTCCTCTCTTGCATTAACATTTCTGTTTTACAACAGTGTCTGCTGCAAAAGGAGCAGGAACCTAATTTTCAACTACTTAAAGTTTACTGCTTAAATGAACCTAAGAGTTAAATATTATTCACCATACTGTATCCATGCTGAAAAAGGTCTTACCTTTTAAAAGCTTAAAAAAAAAAAAAAAAAAGCTCAGAGTATTACAATTAGACCTACAATGGGCTCTTTTAAGAAGATACCAAATTTATTTCAGTGTACAGGCAGTCTCCTGGGTTACAATGTCGGTATATAGTTAACCAACCCCCATAAAGCCTATTGTATTAAAAATTTGAGGTACGTACAATGGTTCCCAATAACCAACAGGTGCTACTTTGTGACACAAATCATTATTATTACTGTATTATTATATTAAAGATGTTTTAGTGTATCTGGAAGTATTTCTCTAATGTTTTTTATGCATAGAAAGGTACACTACATACTAAGACATTTGACTGATGTTAGATGCGAACCATACCTAAGTATTCCAACTTATGTACGAATTCGACTTAAAGACAGGCTAGGAAAGTTAACTAATTTGTAATCCCGGGATTGCCTGTACTTTATAAGCCCAAAGTTAAACTGTATTCATCAAGATATGATTTCTATAAAAAGATTCTATAATATCTCAATATTCTTCAATAAGTTAGTCACTTTATTGAGAAAAAGGTGGACAAAACAACCTGAAAGCAAATAAAAAGAATTTCTTTTGCTAACACCTCTACCAATATGACCAGATCACAAAAAATAAGTGGTCTGTCTCAAGTGTTTTAAGAGTCAATACAGACAAAGCAAACTGTATTATATTAGATGCTCTAGCTAAAATATTTAAAGACGTTAAGGCTATTATTAGTATTGAAGTATAAATTAACTTTACGAGGCCTGGAAGATATTTTTAAAACTACATAATTTTCAGGGAAGTGGAGAAAGTCTACCTAGTTGGTGAGAAAAAGACCCAAACCAATGGCCAAAAAAGAAAAAAAGTCTAATTAGCTATTCATTTAACCAGGGAAATGCATTTATGGCGATTGAGCATGATTAATAGTGCATACCTCTACCTGCGACCCTGGGCTGCTCCGAGCCTCGCTGCAAGACTGAGTCAATCCTGCTAACGAAACAAGAACTGAGACAAGAGTGCAGTGAGGAGGCGCCAGGTGAGCTCCCCAGCACAGCCAAGCCAGCACCGACCCTGCCGCAGAAGCCCAGGGCCCAGATAATTCTAAATAAAATAAGCCCAATGCACGGGTGGCTGAGACCTCTTACTCCTAACTTCCTGCTGGGAAAATTTCCAGGCCTTCTGTACACCACTTGCACTGGCACCTCTCCACCCTCAACCCTCCCATCCCATCCAAGACACGCACTGACCATTTCCCTGTCTGGATCGGATAGTGAGTACCAACAACACGAGGCCAACACTGAAGTCACCACACGCCCTGGCCCAGGGTGAGCGGGAGAAGCACCAACAAGTTGGCGCTGAGTAGATCCACGTCAAAAGGAATCATTATAAAGCTGTAAACTGGAGAGGCTTGTGTTACTCTTTTTTTTTCTCTGCCCTACCCGTCTTGCCCGACTCCCCCTTAGGGGTAGGCAGAAGGTTGGGGGAGAACATCAATCAATAGTGGCGGGCTCTCCCGGCCCTAAAAGGCTGAAAAAAGGAAGCGGGAGGGCGGCCCCAGGACGACCCCTCCCTAACAGGACTGCAGGCCGCGGCTTCCCATCAGCTCGACCTTCCCCCACCCACAAATCCTCCTCAGATCTCGGGGGGTCGCCTCCGCCCGCTTCCTCCATCCTCCCCTTGTCCGAACTCACCCCCAGCCAAGGGCCTAGACGCTTCATACCTTAAAGTAGATCTCGTCCACCACCTCGTGGTAGGTCTTGAGCTCATAGAGCTGTACTTTGAAGTAAGGCGACGACAGGATGTTGGTCAGGATCATGGGGTTGAGGTTCATGGTCTTCTCGTTGCCCCACAGCGGCAGCACATTGCCCTGCTTGCCCGAGACGGCCGGCTTGGTGGCGCCGCCACCGCCGCACTGTTGCTGTTGCTGAGCCGCGGCTGCGGCCGCCTGGTGCTGCGGCTGCGAGTTGCCTGTCAGCGCGGGGCTGTTGTTAGCCATGTTGCGGCGGAAGGAGGGAAAGAGAAGGGAGGGGGGAGGGGGCCAAGCTCGATCTCGCTCTTCGGGACAACGGTCTGAGACCCTACTCCATGGAACGCCGTCGGGAGAGGGGGCCGCCAGGCTGTGCCCCAGTCGGGTTAGGGAAGCAACGGGAACGCCGGCAAATGGACCCCAGGCCGCGAGCAGACGCCGAGATGCAGGCCGCGAGAACTCCCGGCAGAAGGCGAGCCGGCGATCAGAGAGCGCGATCTCTTCCGCCAACTGCCCCTGGGAACAACATGGCGGGCCCGACGGATATGACGCCACACGCCCCAGAGTTCCAAGCTGAGCCGACGGCCAATCAGAGACGTCCGGGTGGGCTGGAAATTCCTCTTCCTAGTGATTGCGCCTTTGCGCGTTCTCCACACTGAGCAGTTGATGCGGTTGTCTCCCGGTCTGACCTCTCAGGGGACGGGTAGTAGAACCAATTCGTCTGTTTTGTGTTTGGACTGGGGACCTTGTTTCTCTTTCCAAGAACCAGGCAGGAAAGGGTTTGCCTGGCCGCTGTGTGCTTGCGAATTCATGACTCTGCTCCTGGGAATATCCGAGAAAGTCATCTGGGCTCACTGTTTTAAGATTTTCTGGAAGGTTTGGTGGTCAGGGACCTACTCCTCCATATAATTTTGGAGTGAGAGCTTCCAATCCTCCACCAGACTCTAATGTCCGGCCGGCGGACTTATTATTTGAGCTTCAGTTTATTCACCTGTAAATCGGGATAACATCTTCTTGGGCTGTTGTGAGCATTAAAAGAGCTACTATACCTGTAGTGCCTAGTAGAATGCTCCTTTCACACTTCTCTTTCACACTACTCAAGTTCCTTCAGTTTTACAGATGAATTCTGAGCGGTCAACTTGGGCGAGGCACTGTGAATGGGTGGGGGAAGGGCGGAAAGGTGTAAAAATGAGAATCAGTCTCAGCTCTCAAGAGCTTCTGATAACTTAGAGATGGTTCGTGTTGTGTTTGAAAGGCTGCAGAGGGCATTGCGGTTTCTACAGGTGGAATCAGACTAGGTAGTTTATCCGCAGAGAACAGCCTGAGCGTATCTAGAAGCAGGGAAGATCAGGTTTTATTAGAGGGTAAATAGTTCACTTGACAGGACCCAGCAAATATGCTTATGAGAGAGTGATGGCTGGATAGAAATTTGGGCCATTGTGAACTGCCTGAAATACCAAAATGAGACGTTAGGAGGTTGATGACATTTAAACCCAAGGGTTACATAATTACGTCCAAGAACCCAAAGTCTATTTTAACGATGCTAATATTACAATACTTTTTGGCTCCAATCCTTTCTTCACACAGTATTGCCCGAGTCATCTTCCAAAAGTGCATCACTCCCCTACTCAAAAACCTTGGATGGCTCACTCAGTAACATATTAATGGCCAAAATTTAATGACCTTTTTCATTCTTCATCGTGTTTGATTTTGCCTTATGGCACTTTTTATCATTTACCCTCTCCTAGAAACTTGGGTTAGGAAGTTTGAAGTAGAGGTCTTAATTTCAGTGGCACGTACATAGAGGAGGGGAATAGGATAAGACAGAAACCTTGGGGAAAAAATCCACACCTGGATAAAGAAGAACCCACAGGAGAAAGGAGAAGCAGAGAAGTAGGAGGTAAACCAGGAGAGAGTAGGAGGTAACAGAATACAAGGAAATACGGATATTTAGTAAATGAATAAATTGCATGATTGATTAATGTTTAAAGCTGTACAGTACCTGAGTGATCATCCTGTCTAGTTCCTTCACTTTATGTTGGAGGAGAACTAAAGCTTTGGGAGAAGTGATTTTCACCTCTTCCCTAGTAAGTCTTGTTTTTCTATACATTTATCCCAAGCTACTTCCCAAGTACAGCTGATGACCGCAACCTCTCTTTAATGAAGTACCAAGTTAAAAGTACATTAAAAAAAAAAAAGATCATAGATCTTCTTTTTGGTGTAATTTTTTTCCCTTAATAATAATAGCTTAAGTTTATTGAGTTCACCCAGTGACATTCTAATTGCTAAATTCTATGATTTTTTTTATTATTATTCGTTAGCAAATATGTTCTTTTAGTGTAGCCTTAAACATTCATTTACCCCCTAGACTCTGGGTGAGGAGCTCAGTAGAAAGGTTGAAGTTGAATAAGTCTTAGTGGCATCAAACTAAGGGAGCCAGGTATTACGATAAAGTGCTAAACATGTTCAATGAATCCCTACAACAACCTGAAAACATTACTATTATCCCCATTTTTAAAGCTTTATTCAGGTGTAATTGAAGAATACTGCACTGCACCTATATAAAGCCGTAAAGTTGGATCAGTTTTGACATATGCGTATATCCATTAAACCACCACATTCAAGGTAACATTCATTTTCATCACCTCCAAATTTTTCTCGTGCCCTTTTGTAATCCAGCCACTTTCTGTCGATATCAATATAGTTAGCATTTTCTCAAATTTTGTGTAAATGGAATTATACGGTATGTTCTCTTTTTTGCCTGGTTTCTTTGACTCAGCGTAATTTTGAGATTCATCCTTGTTGCATATATCAACAGGTTTATTATTCTTATTATTTCTAAATAGTATTTCATTATATTACCACAATTTATCCAATCATCTGTTGATGAGCATTTGAGTCGTTACTAGTTTTGGGCTATTACAAAGATGCTATGAACATTTGTGTATGTAGTCTTTGTCACTTGTGTATGTCACATTGTAGTCTTCATATGGACATGTGTTTTCATTTCTCTTGAGGTAAATATCTAGAAGTGGAATTACTGGGTCTTTTGACAGGTGCATGTTTAACTTTTTAAGAAACAGCTAAACTGTTTTCCAAAATGGTTGTACCATTTTATATTCCAGTTGCTCCATATCCTTACCAACAGTTGATAATAAGTTTTTAAAAATTTTAGCCATTCTAATCAGAGTGTAGTGATATCTCATTGTGGCTTTAGGTTACGTTTTCCTAATGACTATTGATGTTGAACATCTTTTCAGGTGCTTATTGAGTTTTTGTGTATCTTCTATTGTGAAGTAACTTAAAATCTTTTGCCCATGTTCTTATTAGGTTGTTTGTCTTATTGAGTTAGAAGAGTTCTTTACGTGCTCTGGATACAAGTTCTTTGTGTTGCAAGTGTTTTCACAGTCTGTGACTTGCCTTTTAATTTTCTTAGCGGTGTCTTCCAAACAGCAAAAGTTTTACTTTGATAAAGTTCAATTTATCTTTTTTTTTGTTTTGTTTATGGTTTTTGCTTTTGTGTCACAATGATAGTCTATGTTTTCTTCTAAAAGTTTTATAGTTTGGTATTTTACATATAGATCTATATCCTTTTTAAGTAAATGTTTACCTATGGTGTGAGGTAAGGTTGATGTTCATTTCTATCCACACAGATGTTCAGGTGATCCAGCACGTTTAAAAGACTTTTTTTTCCCCTTATTGAATTGCATTAGCATCTTTGTCAAAAACTGAGTGACCCACTGTCTGTGGGTCTATTTTTGGACTCTACTCTGTTTCATTGATCTTTATCTTTCCACCAATACCAAACTATCTTGATTGCTGTAGCTTTATAGTAAGATTTGAAATCAGGTTGGGTAAATCCTCCAACTTCATTCTTCCTTTTAAAAATTGCTTTGGTTACTATAAGTCCTCTGCATTTCTGTCAGTTTTTACCAAAAAAAAAAAAACCAGCCTGTCAGGTTGGCATCTAGTAGGTGCTGAATGGAGCCCTGGTGGTGCCGTGGTTAGGAGCTTGGCTGCTAACCAAAAGGCTGGCGATTCAAATCCACCACCTTCTCCTTGGAATCCCTATGGGGCAGTTCTGCTCTGCTCATAGGGTCGCTATGAGTTGGAATTGACTCAACGACAGTGGGTTTGGTTTTTTGGTCTTAGGTGCTGAATAAACTTGTATCATTCTTGAATAAATGAATAAAGAATGAAAAGAATTGCCATGTGTTGAGGATAACTACTAAAAGAAGAGAAATTAAATGTTTTAAAATCATAACCAAGGACGCAGGGATAGCTTTGTCCAGCACCCTTAATTGTTTTTCAGAACATCCACGAATCTAGAGTAACATAAGAATTGACTATCAAGTACCCAAGAACTAAAAATCTGATGCAGTTGATAGGTTTGTCAACCAAGGGGAAAAAAAAAAAATATATATATATATATATCTCATACTGGTTGTAATAATGACAAAAGCAAACAAAAACAAGGTCTGTTGAAAAAACAGAAGTATTAAAAATAATCAAAACTTAAACATAAGGTTTATTCCGCGCAGTTATTCTATATGCATATAGGGCGACCATTTTGATTCCAGAAAAAGTAAATAGCTCAAAGAAGCTAGGTAAGCTAGGTACAATGAGGCTTATAAACAGAAGAGAAGGGAGAAATACAGAAGATCAACCATTCGCTAATCTTAACATGATTGATTGAACCCTGCCCTTTTCCCTTTACTGAAATCAACTGATATCAGGTCACAAGATGGTCTGTGGCCCTCCACCCGGCCGTATCTTGAAATTCAAATTCAGTAAGCCAGGTCTGGGTGTTGAACAGGAAAGAAAGAGTTTGCAACTTTGGTCAAGAATTTCTTTAAAGTGAATATTTGCTTTTGTGAGTAAAAACAAAACAAAACAAAAACCCCAAAACGAAAGTAAGATAGCTACTGTCAATGCCTCTTTTTGACAGGAGTAAACAACAATACA